AAAAAGAAAGCTCGCGTACATAGACACACACTTCAAATGCTGAAGGTGCAACAGAAGCAACCGGCTAACCCAACCATGGACATTTAGTTGAGCCTATTGACCAACAAATGGACAAATTTTTTGTTAATATACTAAACCGCAATATCCTATGAATATGTAATCTTACCGTCTCCTTCTGAGGTTTCCGTTCACGATTTGGAACTTTTAGTTTTTTTCGTGTTTGTGTGGATTCTCCAGTAGGTAATTCTTGTTTGTGCTTTTGTTGTAATAATTCCGCTTTTCATTGTTGTACTTCAAACTGTTATAAAGCATTTGACAGAGTTGCCCATATGTGGCTCTTGAGCACAGGTTTTCAATCAACTTTTTAAAAAGAACGTGTAGGATAACTGTAGCAATTATACAGTGTATCTCATATTTATCAGTTGGTACTCTTGCAAGAGACTACAAAGAGGAGAGTACATTTGATAGTCAATTAGTCTATAACATTCATTCGATAAGAATCTATGCTTGAGTAGCATGCTCCCTCATTTGTTGTAAATTTGGTGTCGGGGTTTTCCTTCCAAAATTGCAGTACAATCTCTCATTCCAAGAACTACATTTTGCCTTTTATCGTCAATTTTTTTTAATTGGAATTAGCTTCATATATTTGGACATTATGTTATCATTGTTCGACTTTTATGATTGAATCAACCGCTTCTAGGCGCTAATTCAGTGACATGTCCAAGTTTCAGTTCTTTGAATCAATGGCGGAAGCTCAAGTACCTTTTAAGTTAGTTCACATATTTACTGAAAGATCTATTCAAGCGGCATATAAGCGGGTGAGACGTGCCATTCTTGTTCACCATGTAATAATCTACTAAGTCATTCTAGTTATGAAATTGTTCATTTGGTATTGTCAGGTCCTTAATTCCGTGGATGCTCCATCAGAAAAAAAAGAGAAGCATCCATTGATCAAGCTTGCCAATGAATTGAAAATTATTGCTGAGAAGGAGTTCACTTCATTTACCCGAGTATTAGGCCAACAATATCCAAATGCTGGAGTTGTTTCTTCTTTACTGTTGCATCATCTTTATGGGGAAAAACTGGTATGTTTAAAATAGCACTTCTAACTCGTCTAGTGTCTCATAGGGGTCAGTTTCCATTGATACTTGAAGTAATAGCTATTTACATCAATATATAGAATCCTTTTCTGAAAGGAGTATTGGAGCTTTCGGAGAATGTACAATCGGTTCTTGCAGCTTCTGATAGTTTAGAGCTTTATTTGGCTGATGTACTCAATTCTGTATGTCAGAAGGACATGAAATCGCTTATTGTCAGTTACTGGCATCCGTATCAGGTATGGTGCATCCTACCTCAATCTAAGCTCTCTGATCAATTATTAATTTACACAAGTATTGAATTGGACACAATTTTTTTTTGTCTAGTGTTAATGTAAAACTCATGATTGCAACTGAGGACGATACACTATAGCAAGTTCTGAGCTCCTATTGTCAGTGTTTTCCGACATGTCAGATTTAGAGAATATGGGCTATTCGACACGATATGGAGCTTTTTCATGCATATTTCGTTTTTAGGGTTCATGTCAGATATATCAGGGGACATGTCGGTTATGTCGGCCGATTTTTCAGTCTGAAAAATTAGCTGATTTTTTTTTGTTATGTTTATCTAATCAGATTTGGGTTTAAATTCTTGATTGTCTTAATATTACTTCCAAAGACAAAAACCAATAAGTTAAGGGAAATAAAAAAAAGACCGAAGTAATTTTCGTTGCTCATCTTCCCTCTCCTTTGACATCTCATCGGTATCTTCTCCGAGCTATTCCTTCAACATTAATATTGGGTGATCTTCTCTCTTCTTAACTGCCAATATCAGAGTCCTCTTTTCTCACCTCTTTCCTTCAACATTAATCCTAAGCATCATAATTATTTGTTTTTTAATATGTTTAGACAATAGAATTTATTAAGTATGTTTAGATTTTATTTATGATATTTATATTACACATATGCACACCATCCGATATGACAATCCGATATTTTTTCATGTCCCTCGACATATCTCTGATTTCTGCTGTCCGACATGAATTTTAGCCGTCTGACATGAACCCGACATCCAATATTTAAAACCTTGCCTATTGTTGAACAAAATAGATTTTATTTTCTTCCATGTATATTTACTTGATACCTTGAAGTCGCAGTTATATCATTCATATATTTGTCTACACGAAGGTTTCAGATCCGCCTTGATCCTTTGGTAGGCAATTTCTTCCAATATACTAGTTACAAAGTATGAGTAACCGCGTGTAGAGAATTGTGGTTTGCAAATGGTTGATCAATGAGTGTGTTATTATATGTTCAATACCTTACCTTATAACTTAGTAAGTTTTGACATCTAAATGTTTTTGCCATATAGTCATGTAAGGTTTTAAATATCGGATACCGATGATATATCTTGTAGCTATCGGGGATGTGCAGTAACTATCGGAGTGTCATATTAGAAATGTGAATATATAATATAATGTTCTAAAACATAATCTAAACATACTTAATAAAATCTAAGCATACAAAAATTTAAATAATATATGAGAGATTGTGATTGCTAACCAATTGTAGAAACTTATTTAGGGAAAAGAGCCTATTGGATTTTACTAAAAAACTATATAGGGCTGAACTTTTTGCTAAAAGGAATAAAAAAAATTTGTAGAACTATATTGTTTTGTGACGAGCCATATAAAAGGACATATTGGCTGATAAATCAGTCATGTAGGGAATATATTGTCGAAAAATTGCCAGAAGATGGTAAAGGATATTAAGATTGTTTGCAGAAAGCCTTATAAAAGGATATATTAGCTATATCTAGGATATTTAATACAATGTAGTCTAGGATATTTAATACAATGTAGTTAAGTGATGTTTATATGCTAAACTAATTTTTTAGAAAATTATTTTTTCGGATTTAGTTCTAAAACCATACTAGCATAATATCTATATATAAAATCGAGCAACTTCCATCCACATTAAAGTTGATGGCTTTTAAAACTTTTTGTTTCTTTAGTCAGTGTGATCAATACAAAGGCCCAGGGTTGCCAGCCCAAGTTTAAAACAACATTTAATTAATCTTTTGACAATTAAATACTCGAGATTCCCTTGTATATCCTCAAACTGACAAATATTCATGTGGTACTTATGATTGTTCCTATTCCAAAACATGATAGTTGACATACAAAACCACACAAGATATACACGACACCACACATGATATGTAAAGTACCATATAAAATAACATACACAAATATGATATATCAAAAAGTAATTTGATATGTAGAAGAGAAACACCATACACAAGCATATTACCATTGATTTTAAAAAGCAGTATAGGCGGCGACTTAAACCTAAGCGGTACCTATACTTCCCATCTAAGTCTTAAGAGTGCCTAGGGGAGAACGAGTTGCTTAGATGGTGTTAGAAAGAGGTATATTATTTGCTTAAGCATAATAATGGTTGAAGACAGTTAACCAGGTTAAAATGTACCGGATCAAAACTATGTCCAATTCTATCTTAAGTAAAACTATAAGGATATGATTTGAATCTTTGAAAATGATCATTCCTCTCTCAATGTTAAAAACGTCTATGTGCCGCTTAAGTATCCGCTTGGACGCCTGGGCGCTAGGCGCTAGGTCTGGTGCCTAGAAATGCCTAGAGCTTTCTAAAACATTGCATGTTATGTTATGTTTTAATTAAAGTTTACATACAAATGCATTTATCGACGAGTATAACAACAATAAGCCTCTATCCCGAGTGTTTGGGGTTGGCCACATAAATCATGTTCTTCTATTCCATTCTATTATTAGTCATCTCCTCTGTTAAGCTAGCCATAACCATAACCTTATTAATTACTTACAATCAAGCCCTTCTAGGTCTACTTCTAGATCTCTTTGCTCCATTAACTATAATATTATCACTTATTCTAATCGGTGCACTAAAAAGTTCACATTGTACGGTGCACTAAAAAGTTTACATTGTACATGATCATACCACCTTAATCAATTCTTACTCATTTTATTCTCTATAGGAGCAGCCTCTAATTTACTACGGATGCACTCATTTCTTATCCTATCTTTTAGTGTATACCCACAAGAGCATCTCAACATTCTCATTTCTACTTCACTCATTTTTTTATACATGTTATTTTTTCATTGTCCAATATTCTAATCCATAAAGCATTGTTGGTCTCATAACTGTCCTATAAAATTTTTTCTTAAGCCTAAGAGGTATTCTACGATCACGCAAAACTTTTGAAGCACTTCTCCATTTTAACCATCCAAATTTGATTCGACTGACAACATCATCCTCAATCTCACTGTCATATGCTGATCCTAAATAACGAAATTTATTGCTTTTAGATATTTCTTGGACATCAATATGTACTATATGTTCTTTTCTCCTTTCATTTTTCCTAAAAATACATTCCATGTGTTCTGTTTTTGTTCTACTAATTCTAAAACCTTTAGTTTCAAGAGTTTGTCTCCACTTTTTTATTTTAGAAATTATAACTGTACTACTCTTGTCAACTAATACTATATCATTAGCAAATAACATACATCATGACACTTCATCCTGAATATGTCTAGTAAGCTGGTTTATAATTAAAGTAAAAAGATAAGGGCTTAAGGCAGACCCTTGATGTAAACCTATGGTTATAAGAAATGATTTAGTCTTTCCTTTATTCGTTCTTACTTTAGTTGTTACTCTATCATTCATATCTTTAGTCACATCAATATATATACTAGATACGTGTTTCTTTTCTAAAACCCACCATATTACCTCTCTAGGCACTCTATCATAAGCTTTTTCTAGGTCAATGAAAAATATATGTAGATCATTTTTTATCTATACTTCTCCACCAACCATCGCAACATATTTATAGGTTCCTAGTTGACCTCCCGGGCATAAAATCGAATTGGTTTTTAGATACACTTGTCTTTTTTTCTTAGTCTTTTCTCAATTACCCTCTCCCAGAGTTTCATAATATGACTTATGACTTATGGCTTTAATAGCATAAAACCGAATTGGTTTTTAGATACACTTGTCTCAATAATCTTATTAAATAATTTGATCAACCATCCTAATCCTGTATCTCCAAGACATTTCCAAACTTCAACATTGAACCTATGACAATCGAGCATACATGGAACACCTTGTAAAACCATAGAGGGAGTCAATAGGGTTGAAAGGCTAAAAATAATTAACAGAGCACTTTATAATAAGTGCAAAAATTTTAACAGATAATCAGTGGAATGCTGATATTGGAAATATAGAAAACAAAGCTAAAATAGTCAAGACTCTCGCGAGTGGAAGAGCCCTAAATTCTGATGGAAGATTTGCAGAAAAGGTGTTAGCATAAACTATAATTTGCACAAGATATTATAAACAATCAACACAAACTCAATGATGTATAAGGTGGTTCGTTGCTTAGCATTTGATGAAACTTTTCATTCTTTCCTGTTGTTTTCATCGGCTTAAATAGTGGTAGCTAATTGGAATATTAGATTGAATATGATCTAAATATCACTTGTTTACAACTAGCTATTTGGACAGAGTAATTAAGTATTTAGCTAACTATTCGATTTCTTAATGTGTTAAAAGTTGAGAGGACAAATCAATGTGTTAGAATTTTGAGAGAAAACTTAAATTGCTAACTAACGTTATGAAAAGGGTATGTTAAAAATTTGTTAATAGTGTTCAGTTCCTGGGCGGAACACAGATTTGAGGCAGTTCTAGTGTAGAATAATACTTGGGATGTTATGTAAAGGGAGTTTGAAAGCTCAAGGGACTTTTTTATTGCATACTTAGTGAGTTCCATTTTAGTTCATAAGTCTATTTGTGTGGTATGTAAGCATTAACATAAATACCTATAATTTAAGTACGGTTTAATCATTCTAAACCTTATAAAACTGTGATGCCCTGTGCGTAACATTATGTGAACCTATGTGTTGCGATAATTAAAGAAATCGAAGATATACTATGATTACGTCTTTAACTGGTACTGCAGATATGCATCGAAAGTGAATTTTGTTCAATTAAAATAAATATTACTTTAAAATTTTTTGATTCAGATTTTACATTGTTGAAGTTTATTTATTGGAAAATGGAGGATATCAGGTATGTTAAGAAAAAGTACTCATATTTGGATTTGTATAGTGAATCATTATCCTTTTCAGGTAGTAGTAAAACGCACTTCCCATGCGTTAAATTCACCAAAAAGTGAAATCTGTTAAATTCACCAAACTGTTTAAGCTACACCAAATAAATTTCCTTTAATAATTCTGTAAAAATAATTCCGATCAAGTTAACAATCCAACTAAGGTTAACGCCTACCCCGCGTTAAGCCCCCCCCCCCCCCCGCCCCACGCGCCAACACACACAATCGTCTCTCTCTCTTTCTCTCTTAGTTTCTTTCTGTCAATGTCGTTGTCTCCTTGCATGGCCCATTGCCTCTGCTGCTCCTATTACCACCCTCATCATTCTTCTTAACTTTGCATGACGCTGCTGCCCCTATCAACTTCTTCTTTTCTCCCTCCACTAACAACTAACAGCAACAAATGAGACCGTGAACAGAAAGGCAGCATATGGTCGCGCATGTTGCTGTCCCTGTAGTCACCACCTCACTACACCTCGCGGATGGCGGATTCTTCACCGACGACCAAGGACATCAATTAGATTTTTATTTTCAAAAGTTCGCCATTGATATAATTTTGCATTATATCTCAGTGTAGTAAATCTTTGTGAGAAGTGAGAACATAAAAATCTGCAGGCTATTTGTAAGCACATGGTAAACACTACTTCTTGGTTCAAGTTCTAATTCATCCAAGTCATGTATAATAAACTGGACAATCATTTCATGTGTAAATATTACGTTCTCTTTTTGTGTTTTTATAAAATTATTCTGTTCTTTTATGGTGATGAGTATGTATGTAAATCTATTCACCTTTCTCCTCTTGTTAACACTTCTGTAATCAGTTCAGATCCATATTTCAATTTAAGCTCACACATTATTCCATAATGTTCATATGAAATTTAACTTGATAGTTGTAGATCCCAAATGCAAATTTTCGTAAATAATATCAAAGAATTATATGAACTTTTGCTGTCAAGTGGTAGAATAACTGGAGTAGACATATTTTTACATTAAAAAAGAATAATGTTGTTTTTTTTTTGCTTGGAGTATTTTGTAAAACCCTGCTAAAACCTTCCTTATTTTGTTAGACTTGAAAAGAAAAATAAAGATTATTCTAATATTTAGTTTTTTATTTAAAAAATAAGATTGCAGATTAAGTTTCTTTAAATGCGTTTGGTCATGTTCCCTTTTGTTCCAAACCAATCACATAATCCTGGGTCTATCCCTGACTTTATGCTTGTAGTCCATCTGTCACAGCCTGAGCCATCTTCCAAACTTATACGTTTTTTCTGCCCAGTTATAGATATACAGTTTAATTTCGGCACTGTCATTTTCACAAGTGGATTCTATATTCCTAGTTGGAGTTCTTTAAGCTATTTTGATGTGAAGTAGCTCAGTTGTTTTACATATTAGATTCTTGGTTTTAACGAGTGTAAACAGAAAATATTGTTGTCTTTTACACAATTTATCCAATGTGCTTCTTCATTCATTAATCAAGAATTTTCTTTTTCTTGTTTCTAATTTTTTTCAAAACAGATAAGAGAAGTTTGTGCACCACTTATTCTTCATTGGCTTAATGCGCAACATGAGAATATCTTGGAGTGGACAAAACGTGCTATTCAGTTGGAGGTAGGCTGCATTTATGAACAAAATGCAAACTTATCTATTCACCTTCACTTCACCTCCAAGAATTATATCTCATCTGAATGTTCTAGTGGTTCTCAATATTTCTGTCTCTCAATTAGCTTTTGGTAAAATGCTTTGCGTACACTAGATTATTCTAATTATCGACCACTTTTTCATTTTAATTAAAGTTACATATCTACACTCCTTAACCATGCGCATGTAAGCTTTCTTTGTTTAGATAAATACATCTATTTATGTAATTTAAAAAACATATACTAGTTGAGCTTATTCATAACTCTGCTTGGGACTTAGGGAGTATATGTGGTCCAGCACGTTTTGGGACAAGATGAATCATAACAAATATATTTTTTGTTTAGTTTTAAATTCTGTTCACCTAGTTTAATCTATTTTCGTTGCTTCTTTTGTTGAAGTTTTGTATCTTATCCTCCAGATGCATTTTACTTCTGTACGGGTGTGTCACGTGTGCCTTTTTTTGGCCCCTTTGAATCATTTGGGGTTCTTTTATTTTGTTTAACCAATTGCTAAGGAGTCCTTGCTTAGAAAATTTGGGATGTCAATTCGAGTACAATACACGGTAAATATGAGCTTCTCTAATGATTGGTGTCACGCCCCGAAACTGTAGCGGAATTTCATAAAATACGGGGTGCGCGACAGCAGCGATCCGTGCACTAGACAAGTCTTATGCACGAGTCAAGCCTAGCAATTCATATCACATAGTTTATTTTCAAAATATTCATAAACCTGCTGATGATAGAAATCAGAGCAACTATATATATATATGATCGATACTTACAACCCACAAGCTTACCGTTATAAGCATTTTTACAAAACAAAACAAAATGTGCTGAAGGTAACATCAAAATGAAGAGGCTCTCCATATAACGCCCCTCAGCCAAAAGTTCAAGCCAAAAGTCAGCTAGTAGGAAGCTACGCCGGATCTGAAAAAAAATTTAAAAACAACGGGGTGAGCTAGCGCTCAGTGAGAATATTTCCCACTAGCTAGCGCTCAGTGAGAATATTTCCCACTAGAGTTCCTAGATAATTAACAAAATAGTAATAAGCATAATTATCAGAAATAACGAGTTACAAGTTTTGCATGAGAAATTCAAAGATAGCAAAATACGACCCAAACATCATAATATTGTCTGTTTTCAAAAAAGAATGCAACAATTATATATTTTTTTATGTGCAACTGAATATACTGTGAAGTTTCTTGGAATCAAACCCTTTTTTGAATCAAGGTAAACATTAAGACGGAAAAGAACTAGTAATTTGTACAAACGAGAGAATTATTGTTTTCTCAATTTCACAGTCAATTGTCAAAATCTTATTTCTCGATGAGTTATTCATGAATGTAAAAGTCACCCTATAGGTCACACTAAGGTTACGAATTATAGCCCAGTAGCAAGGGAATGCGTAACCGCATCACATAACAGATAATTTCCGAAAATCGAATGCTACTAACACTGCCATAGGTTATTGGCCAAATACAGATGAGCCAGAACAAATTTCAGAATGGACAATACAGAAGGGCCAATACAGAAGGGCCAAATAAAGGTGTATTCACCATATGACAGGCAGAAACAATCCATAGTGGACTATTTGAGGGTTTAAAAACATCGAGATCATATGTCACATGAGTAATACTTTGCATATCAGAATTTACAGATATTTATTTTCTTCTTTTATCAGATACTAAGTCACGGAAAATCTTTGAATCCGTTAAACTGTTGAAATATATTCCAAATACTTTATCAAAAACTTTCAGATAAAACAATGCCCACAATTATTTAAAAATTACACGAGAGCCAAATTCATTTTCATATTTTATATAGAAAACAAATTTTCTTTTCATCTATTGTACGAGGCTAACATCGTATTATAGGATAGACCACAACCGAAATAGGTCAAATCTTTATATACATGAAAATGACATATTATTTATTTTTCGATCACAAGGTAAATCAAATATAATACTCGTGCAATTTTATATTATAAAATACTAATGAGAAATGAACTCACCTCTAGTGGTCACGACTTTCTCAAACTATTATTCTCCCGAATATCAACTAGAACCTATAATGTAAGATATATAACTCATTATTAATTCAGAACAAACATACATTCTAGGTAAATCACTTCATAATCTAGAGTCTAATAAATTCAGATATAAACAATAATAATTAAATTCTGTAGTATATATGAGTTTATTAACCTTAGCAATTTATCAAAATTTTATAACTCTCGTATACTATCTTTTGGACTTCCTAGTCATTTATGATAATGTAGGGGGTTATAGGGAATTTATCCAGTCTAAAAGTTATTGTTTATTCCTAAGACTGGACTTATTTACAATTTGAGTAAATAACAGGAACTTAACAGATATTTTCCAGCCATTTTCAACCATAGCTCATTTTTCTAAGGTCTGTTAGAAATTTTTATATGATTCAGGGGCTTAAAGCAAAATTTTTCCTCCCTTTATAATAATCCAACTGATCATCTTCCTCCTCCCCTTCTTCGTTTCTTCTTCTTCTCTTTTTTTTTCGTGGTTTTCTTTGGGGTTTTTTTTTCCCGTTTCATTCTTCCATCTGCTAAGTTATCAGCTTAAAAGAGAAGGTGAGAGACAGAGGTTAAAGGTTTAGGGATGCTAGGATTTCATAGGGATGGTTTCATGGGTTAACGGAGAAAGAACGCGTCACTAATGGGATTTTCCAAGAGGCTCTAAATGAGCCAGCTCAAGCTGAGGTAACCTCTATCTCTTTTTTTTTAATATATATATATATATATATTCCTGGGCTATTACAATTGGATTCAACAGGCTTCTTGATTTGGTGATGTATCTGCTGGATAAGGAAAGAAGAGCATGTTAACTAGAATTATCATGTTCTGTTTAATCTCTAGCACACTATTTGATTCACGAGATCATATATAACTTAAAAAGTATTTACCTCCTCTTTGTATGTTCTACAGATCACAGAGGAATTTCAATATTATTCTTGCTTGGATGCTTTTTGACATAGGAGATACCTCCAACATCACACTAGTGTCGTGCCTAAGATGGGTTCATATTTGCAGGCACTATGGATGCATGCAATATTTTCTCATCAGGTTTCATTGCAAGACAATGAGCACATAGTAAAGTTTATGTTCAACTAGGGAGAATGAAACATTGCAAAGACTCCAACCAAAACGCTGAAGTTCAGATTCTAGCACATAGCTCTATTAAAACAGTCTTAACTTAATAACTGATTTGGAGGAAATGCCCATTCATTCCGAATCTAATAGCAAGACTCACATTATATTTTCTTTTTCTTTTTTCCTCTGTATGTTCCAGAAACAAAAAAATTATGGGCCATTGCTCAAGGTATCATCAGAAGAAATTTCTTGTTTCACAGTAGAGTTATTTGCTAAAGATCTTCAACTCATTTAATTTTTGTAGCCTTTTCATGGAAGGTTTGTGTATCTAGATTAAGGTTGCCACCTGTTGTTTTCTGATTTGTTTCTTAGATTTCAAGAATCCACCCTAAGGGTTTTTAGTTAAAAAGATTTTATGCCTTCTTCTTGTAGTATAAATTTATGATGAGTTTTGGAAAGAAGTATATTCTTCTTCCTTGATATCTGGTGCAATGGAGCTCCTAGTTCTAGATACCTTTTTGGTTTAATTTTGGAGGTCGTCATCTTCACTGAGGGTGCAATTCTTAAGAAAAAAAAACAAGAATGAGTAGAAGGTGACATGGTTAATTTTAGTTATCCTTTGACTATAGAGTTGTTCATTGACTATAGAATTGTTCCTTGACCATTGAATGCATTGTTGGGCATTAGAGGTCTGCGAGCTTTAGTAATTTTGACTCGACTTGTTTTTATTCATCATGCCATCATTTTTCAGGTTTTCTCCCCTAGATGATTCAGTGTCCTTGATTTTACCATAATTGGAGGATTCAGCATAATTTAGACAATTAATTATTGGGATTGGCAACTTAAAAAAATAGTTTTGTTTCCATGGTTTTTCTAAGAATAGAAATATGATGTTGCATTGATCAAAATCTGCAATACTGTAGGTAAATAATATTCACAATTACTTGAAACAAGATGCCAACAAGATGGCATCTTGTTTCATACAGTTTACTTCTCCACATTTGATTAAGCTGAACTGTCCAATGGCCTATGACGTACAACGAAGACATCAGAGTGCACCGGTTTGGAAAAGTGATAGTATTATAGTTAATGAGGCTAGGAGATCTAGAGGTAGACCTAATAGAACTTGGTTGGAAGCAATTAAGAAGGATATGATTATGTTTAACTTAATGGAGGAGATGTCCCATAATAGAATGGAATGGAAGAATAGGATTCATGTACTCGACCCAAACATTTGGGATAAAGGCTTTGATGTTGTTGTCCAATGGCCTATGATGTTGCAACTGATCATAGTCATTCCTGAATTGAAAGTCTATTTGTGTATTTTCCCAAATTGATAGGAACCTCAGGTTTCTGGAGCATCTTGCCTTGTCTCTGTGCCATTAGTTCCCCAAATTTCTATTTTGCAAGCTTATTCATAAAATCACTCTATTTGTTATCCTTTGATCTGCAAATGCTTTCTCACAGTCCTTGAGAGATGCTATGTATTTTGTGAAATAGTATATCAAGTTTCTTTGAGCTCTTGCTCTGCAGATTCTTTCATGAAGTCTTCATAAACATAAATATATCTGTGCATGTCTATGTCTTTATACATCTATCCCTAAACACAAATGGAACACATACATATTCAGTTTATGCTTCAAGTTTATGATCCATCCACATGGAATATTCATTTGTTTGAAGGGGAAGGGAACAGGGTGAGGTGGGTAGGGTTCTGAATGATTATTATTTAAATATATAAAATTATACAGAACACAACTAGATAATACAAGTAGGACCCATCCTGTGGCTGTTCTACCTGCACGTTTGCTCTGATACATGTATTTTTGTTTCATTGAGTGAATCTTTTATCATCTTTTGCTTATGGAAATATTCGTCTTCGTCTGGGTTTTAATGGTGAAGTTTATTGAGGTTTTTCAATGTCCTATAGGATTGGGAACCTCTGTCATCTCAACAAAGACAAGCTGCATCCATAATTGAAGTTTTTCGAATCATCGAGGAGGTTCAGTATTATATCTTCTGCTTTTCTCCTTGCTCTTTCAAGTGACTCGGGGACTTTAAATGCTTTATTTTATTCTGATTGTTGATTGTTAAAATGTTAATGTTGAAAATGGAGATGCACTGCATAATGAAACTTTGAGAGCACAAAAAATAATTTTTTTCCCATCAACACCATGAACACCCCTGTTTTTTGTTTCTGTGATAGTGGATACATATCCAATCAGGGCAGGATGTCAAAGTATTTCAATATAACTTTCATATGATAAGTTCTTCTATTCTTCTTTTCTTTTAGTGAAAAATATCTATGGTTTTTGGTAAACGTACTGCAGACTGTTAATGAGATCCTTCCTTTTCTAGTGGACTGATGATATAGTCGTCAACGTATTCAGGATATCTAAGTTTTCCAGTGCAATGTCCACTTGGCCTTCTCTAAGATTTAATTTATGATAAAAGTTCATTAGACTAATTTTTAATTTTGTACATGCGTTAACACGTTCATTAGACTAGTTTAACCCTTGCCTATTGAATAAAGAACAATAGAGAACTAGTAGGATTTTTCATTTAATACTTCTGTTCAGTAATGTTTGTGAGCAGTTGGGTCAGAACAATTAGAGAGAGATTTCATGTGAATCTATGGTTAAGGCTCTTGGATGGGTATGCAAGATTTCTGGAGTTCATACCCTGCCCTCTACCTCTGTCCTCTGTGATACAGTTCATCCAAGGTTTAAAATCTCAATATTGCCAGTGGTTTCAATTTCTTTTTTTTTGTACCAGTATCAAGAGTTTTGGCGGTTCCTATGTTTTTTGACTAGAAGTATCTGTACATATAACAATCTAGTTCCATTCTACAACCTTTCGGATAATTTATCTCTTCCTCTATTTTCCCCTTTATATAGCACCTATTAGTTCACTTTTGATACTTCTTACCTCAGATAGACTCACGTATTGGTCCTTATTCAATATTAGCCTTTATTGGTCATTATTTGCTAATACGGCCAATATTATCTGTTCATTTGGTTAGATCGGCATGACTATACGACCAGCACATATCAATATTGGCCTATATTTTCAAATCTCGTGTTTATCTCAATGAAAATTAATCTGAAATGACCTCAGTATTAAGTTTTAACTGTTGACTGGCGTGCAATTTTTCTTTCTTCTCGAGAAGGGTATCTTGGTGTTACTGTGTAAGTAAATAGAATAAAATTTCAGTGATATTAGCTTATGTTCTCATCTTATTCATTTGTTCTTTTCAGGTATAAGTTATTTTGATGATAGTACTCAAGATGTTTGCCGCATGAACCTAAGAACGATAGACCCATGAGAAGAGCATTACATTTTAATTTTGGATTTTCATTAAATATGCTGGCTCTTTCTTCTTTATGAGCGAAATCTATCTAATGTTTTTTGTAATTTCCAGGCCATTGATCAGTTCTTTGATCTAAATCTTCCTATGGATATCATACAATTGCGCTCTTTACTCATTGGGATTTTTCGTTGCCTTGACGCATATTTGCTGCACATTGTCAATCAGCAAGGTTTGTTACCTAATCATATCAACTGAATGCTTCATACTTTGCTTCTCTCTTACAAAATTTCAGTTCATTTTATTACTTACTTTCCAATGTTCCAATGTAAACTTAGGGTTAAAGAATTTTAAACTTTTAGTGCTCACTGGATGGTGTACTGCATAATTCTCTGGACCCCCTCAGACTGTCGTACATTTACTGCAAACTGATTCCCGGTATAATTGAGAACTGATTCCCGGTATAATTGAGAACTGATTCCCTCCAATACACGAATTAATTCCCCAAAAGTAGGGTACCGCTTCCAAGTATGCAAGGCGCAAAGTCCATTTTATTGCACATGTGCGAGATGCAATGTGGTGTGTCGTGTGCACAATCGAGTGAAGGGAGGTGCACAATAGAATATATGAGTCACTTTACTGTAACTAAATACCTATATTAATAAAACATGAAATGAAACCATCACCCAACATGAACTATACGAAAAGGAAAACAGAACAAAAGAATGAACTCTAAAAAGAACAGAAAAGAGAAAAAAGAACTCACTAGAAATGCAGAGGAAAGTCTAAAAAAAGCTAACGAACTCCATAAAAAAAGAAATATTTATTTTGTATATTTTTTTTAAATGCATAATTAGCTTTATTGTTACTAGTTTTTCTAGTATACGAAAATTGTATGCGCACCCATAACAAATTTATAACGTACCACATACTGAACTTGCATACAGAAGCAATCTACCCCTCTTGTATCCAAATTTTCTAAGTGGCAAATCCTACGCCCAAGTTCGTACCACAAGGTGCTACTTACCTCATATTGTGTAACTATGGTGTAACATTTATCCATCTTTATGTATTTGGTGTCTATATATGTTTTTTTAATTCTAGTAGCTACTTTTCTAATTGCATTCTGTTAGCTAATATTCTCTAAAGGCTTATTACAAAATTTTGTTCTTTTGATGGCCTACAGTAGGTAAGAGAAGCTTGTCTATGTTTGGTTGCCTTGTAGTAAATCATAGAGACAGCTGGTTTTGTGACCTGTACTTTTAGCAGATTTTTAATCTAGAAGAATTGGAGGCTACCAGTTGGTAGTTAAGGATTATTTCCGGCCCTTATCTGGATAAAAATTGGCACTAATTAAGAAAAAATTGTTGCTGTCACTTTGTCAAAATTCCAATGGAGTTCTGCTCTGTGGCGGGTGTCATTATAATTGTAAAAGGTTTACATCATGATAATGATAGCCTCACATCCACCCTTTAATTCATCTACAATCTGCCAATGATCACATGTTTCGCCTATATGACTTGTGTATCTTGCAATTTATTTGTCTTTTCGAAATTCAACTTTCTTACAACAAAAAAGCAGTAATTGACGCCATCAGCTCCCACGAGATTTGGTGCTCTTTTCTTTTCTTGTATTTATCTTATCGCTTTTTCTGGAATCTTTGTGACTAGAAAGTAAGTTTTCGTTGTACAACAGAAATTGCACCTAGTTGATTTACTAGGTTTTTTAGTGATGTTTATACAGCTCACATTTAACTTATTTAATACTATTGTAGCAAAATAAAGCAGTGATGGTAGATTGACAGTTCGTAGAAACTTGAACAATCATTCTGGAACCTTCTTTACTTTGAGGTCTGCTTAATAACTGAATTATGTTGATGGTAAACTATGATGATAAAATTTGTTTAGCTAATTGTGTGTTTAATAGCTAGTTATAGCAACCGTCAGTTTTAAAACTTTCTTATAGCTGTAAGACAAAAAAATCTGAACTTTTAGCGCTAACTCATTTTTTTGGGTTAATTTCATAGACCCCTTTGAACTTTGGGAGTGTTGCACATAACATCCCTGAACTTTGTTTATCTCACTTAACCCCCCTGAACTATGGATGTCTCACAATCCTTCCCCCCCAAATGTACCTTATCTCGCATAGCCTCCTTGCCTGTAATCATGGTTTTAAATGTCGGCCGATAATCCGATATTATCGCCGAGTAATCGGATTTGGAAGCTTCCCGCTAGGATAAGTAGGATTTTTAATCGGTTATCGTTTTTTGAGGTTTATTGGCAAGTTATCGGCGATAAAGGCACTTATCGGCCGATAAGTAGGCTCTAAATATCGGCTTTATCGGCCGATAAGTAGGATTTGAGAGCTTTTACTTTCTTTTGAATTTGCTCTTTGAATGTTTACAAATTATGAGCTATTTGTTGCTTTTGGAACTTGGTTGATTGGTGATTAGCTAATGTTTGTTTATGGATATTAATAATGGCTCATAACTACTAAATATCAACTTAGTAAGTTAGTTTATGAATCTCATGATTAAACAATAATTATGTAGATGCATAGGTGGTTCTTCATTCTTGATGTTATCTTATTATTTGCTTGTTTATTATTCCATTTTGACTAACATTATTTTTTTTTTCAAGCTTATGTTTGTTTATTATTTGCTAGTATATTACTCCGATAAATACTATTTATCCCTGATATATCCCTGATTTCTGCTATCCGATAAGGATTTTGACCGTCCGATAAATCCTTGATAACCGACATTTAAAACCTTGTCTGTAATTTGCAAATAACTAAAATTTTCTTGAGAGAAAAAAAACTTAATATTTTGGGGAGGGAGTATGTTGCGTATAAATAACAAGTGACGAAGTTTGAGATTTTTTTTCACTCAAACATTTTAGTTATTTACAAGTTACATGAAAATGGGGTTATGTGAGATAATATAAAGTTTAGGGGGGTTTTGTGAGATACACCATAGTTCAGGGGGGCTATGGGAGATCAACAAAGTTCAAGGGGGTTATGTGAAACAACCCTCAAAGTTCAGGGGGGTTTTGTGAAATTAACCCTTTCCTTTTAACTACTACTATTTGCTTGCTTTTCGTTGCAAAATGTTGTATCATGATGCTTTCATTTAGACTTTTCTTTTAAACAATAACAGTTATTTTTGTTGAATGGAGGAAACTTTTGGTTGCATGAGTTAAAAATTAACCATTATTGTATTTATGCTCATTAGAGAACTGCCCTGAAATGTTGTGGAAAGCCCTGTCTTCTTGATACTTTCCCTTGGCCAAGCATTTGACATCCTCGTGGCGTTTGAGCAGTTGGTAGATGGCAGCTGGCCTTACTTCACAGCCATGTCATTATGGAATTAGGATCATTGCCCAGTTCATTTGGTGCCAAAAGGCTAAAATTATTATGAAATTCTACCTTTTGGGTTGTTTTTATCGAACAGTGTAATTGAAACAATTTAAAGCTGAACAGGAGCATGAAATTGTACTTGACAATGCAATGACAATTTGACAAATACCCTAATCGCCAAAATAAGTCAATTTGTAGTCTGTCTTCAGGATATGTTAATATAACTGAGGATACAAATAAGAGATTGTTCAAGGTGCACTAATGATGCTAATCAACAATTAGTAATGGAGATAAACAAGAGCAAGATAATTCAAACTTCGCAAAGAGATCAGGTGAGAGATTTATAGTAATTCGGAAGGGTGGCAATGTCCATCCTCACACCTAAAGCGCATCTCCACTTTGAGGATTTTCACTTCTCTCAATCCAAAATCATAAAAATCGGTGAGTTACATATTGGATTAGTAGTCAAGTTTCTTTGTACTTCGCTAAACTCTTATGGGCAGAGTTTATCACCAAGAGGATTAAGAAAATAGCTATCTATTTTTAAAGATAAGAAGCTTTCACTATTTCTTCCTCTTTCTGATAATCATTAGAACTTCTGAAGTAGAATGTATAAGAATTGGAGCCTTTGCTAAGTGAATAAATTATAAATCTGAATGGATTTATATAACGACTTTGAGTGATTAAGAGTTGTAGTTGTAGTGGTAACCGAGTGAATGAACTCTCCTTAATACAGAAGATGGAGCAAATGAAGTAGAGAGGACAATCAGAGAGAGTTAAATCAGGTCTGTACATTGCCAATTTTAACAAGAAATCAATCTTGTACACAAGCCAGATATTCGAGATTTAGATTGACTACAGAATCAGCTCCAAAGAATTTAGTCAGTTTTTTCAGAAGTCCAGTCAATTGAGCATATACATAAAAGTCAACTACAAAGAATGTATATAGTAACAAAAGGTTGACCAAAAATTTTGCAACAGTTGCAACTGGATTTGTGGGTCAATGGTTGGTGATCTGGTTAATAGCAATCATATGGAGTACACAAGTCTATTTATTTTATAAGCTTCTGGAACAGAATCAGTTTTCTACTGTTAACAGGAAGATTCAACTTGATTAATCATAATTAGAGGAGTATAGGAGCATATGTTCCTATTGGCTACATGATCAAGACCCAATATGGATTTAGACCCAAATATTCATGCAACCAAAGAATTTATTCCAACACTCTCCCTCAAGCTCAAGCTGGAGGATAGATATCTATCATGTCCAGATTGTTACACAGATGAGAAAATACTTTTAAAGATACACCCTTGGTGAAGATATCCACAAACTGCTCTGTTGAACCTGTAATAGGAGTGCATATCAAACCTTTCATCACAACATCCCTCAAAAAATGACAATCCACCTCCAATTTAGTTCACTCATGTAAGATTGGATTTTTGGCGGTATAGAAAGTTGCCTGATTATCACATTTCGTAGATATTGGACTATGTTGCAAGCAGTGTTTTTAAAGGCGCGCGCCTCATTGCGCCTCATGCGCCTTACGATGCGGGGCGGTGGCGAAGCGCCCCACACCTGATGCAGCAACGCTTTTTGCGCCTCGCGTACGTCTGTACTTTGTGTAGGATGCATGTAGTACATTTCCTCATATAGTTTTGTTTGTTAACATTTCAATCAAATCTTTATACTTGATATTCCATATCCCAAAAAGCAAAATAAATTCATTGGGCTTTTTTAATAACCTTCAATTGAGGACCATTACTAATCCTTAGTTTGGATATAAGTCTTGATTTAACATTTGATTTGAAAATTTATGAAATTTGCTACTATGTTGGGTGTTAGCATTAGAAATTAAGGCAATATATTGTGATTTTGTAGCAAAATATTATTTATCATGATATTTTTCATGTAAATTCTAAAAACATGTTCTTTCGCGCTTGATTACATATATTGAAATATTATATGTGTGGTTTGCGCCTCGCATCACTCGGGCGCGCGCATCGCGTTACGCCTTGCGCATGTGCGCGTAAAGATGCTTTGTGCCCCGCATTGCGCCTCGCGCATTGAAAACACTGGTTGCAAGAAACCTAGTTCTGTCATCAAATTCTTCAACTGCAACATCTCGTAAATTGTATGAGCCAATGCTCTATACTCAGCCTCCACACTAGAACAAGAAACCACATCTTGCTTTTTGCTCCTCCAAGGCACAAGATATCTCCTACATAGGTACAATAGCCAATTGTAGACTTCCCTGTCACCTCTGCCTCCAGCATAGTCTAAAATTAAATATATTGTTCTTATAGTTTACCGCCCTAGAGGTGTTCTTCTCGTTAGCATACATCTCCTTTGGGGTATCCCGTATCTCCTTAACAGTCTTCAGATACACCTGAACTAACCTTCTTGTCTATGTTGTTGAGCCACCAGATCATGACGCAACAATCATCGGCTAACCAGTTAGAATAGCGAGGATCTTTTGCACTTGGAGGATCATCAGTTAGGTGTTTCATTTTCTTCTGATCACCAGTAAACAAGTGAAAAGATTGGGTCCACAGCAAATAATTCCATTCAATTTCATAGAGAATTCGGTACTAGATTCTCCATCACTGAAGAAATGATTGTAGATACTTGTTTAATCATATCGTTGGAGGAAGTCAGTGCAGCCACACAGTAAGTAGAATCAGCAGTAATCAGGCTGACAGTAGAACTTAGATCCAAATAGAGATTAGCATGTACATGAGGGAGATAAGAGCATACAGTTAGCTATAGCGGTGAACAGAGGAAGCAACAATATCAAAGAAGGTTGAGGTAGTATCAATGGGTAGAAATGGCCTCAATGTTTGGAGGGCTCGGAATAGCCCTAGGTTTGCTGCGGGTTGACCAGAGGATGGGCTTGAACAGAAAAAAGATCTGTGGGTCTGATGTTGGATGTAGGCTTTAGGCGCTGATGTTGGAGGGTGTAGGAGGCGTTAGAGAAGAAGAGGCGACAGTGTTGATGGAGGCTTTAGATGGCGGCTGGAGAAGGTTTTAGCGGTTATGTTGGTGGAGAAAGATAGGAGGAGGCAAGGTTTTAAATATTGGCCGACATATCCAACATGTCGGCCGACATATCGATTTGAGGGCTTGACCGACACGACATGGATGTTTTCAACTCGTATATCGGTTTTCAGGGCCAAATCGGAAATATCAGGGTCATATCGGGCATATCGGCCTATTTTTTAGCTTTGAAAAATCGACCGATATGGTACTTTTTTTTAAGATCTGTTTTTTGTTATCGGGTTTGGATTTAGTGATAAATACCCAAACCCGTTTGACTCGTTCTCATGTTTAAGGGTTCGTTATGAATCCGATAGAAAGAATTTATGAACCCAAATCCATATATTATTTACTTTTTTAGAAAGAATTTATGAACCCAAATCCATATATTATTTACTTTTTTATATGTTTAGTCTACAAAATTTATAATGTATGCTTATATTGAATTTATGAATGCTTAGATTACATTTAGGACATGATATTATACATATACGCACTACCCGATATGACAATCGATATTTAGTCAATGTCCCCCGATATATCCCCGATTTCCGATATTCGATATGGATTTCAGCCATCCAACATGAACCCGACATCCGATATTTAAAACCTTGGGAGGAGGGCAATGGAAGAGTTAGGGTTAGGCATGCTCGGATATCATGTTAGCAGGAAGATTCGATTTGATTAATCGTAAGTAGAGGAGTACATTAGTATATGTGCCTATTGGATATGGGGTTGAGACTGAATGTGGGTTTAGACCTAAATATCCACACAACTAAAAACTTATTCCAACATCTACCATTCAAGGACAAATTTTGAAAATAGACCTATTTACAAAATTTATTACAAATTCGACCTATTCGGAAGTTATTTGTGAAAATCGACCCAGTTTCAACCTGATCGATTTTCACAAAAAAAAATATCCGAAACTTCACAGGACTTGAAGTCCCGTGAAGTTTAGCAGACAGCTAATTAAGCTGCGTAACTTTACGGGATTTCAAGTCCCGTGAAAATTTTTTCCCTTCGTGAAGGTTCATAAGTGAAATAAACTTTACGGGACTTCAAGTCCCGTGAAGTTTCAGAGTACTTTTTTTTCAAAACTGAGGGTTGGTTTTGACAAATAAGTTTCAAATAGGTCGAAATTTGCAATTATTTGTCAAAATGGGTCTATTTTCAAAATTTGTCCACCATTCAATCATCTGGCTGGACCATTAAGTCTGTCATATATTTCTGTTATATGATGTATAAAGTGCAAATAAAAATGAAAACTAAATCAAAGGAGCCATTAAATCTGAAATTTACCAGACCAGTCGAGCAGTAGTCCTTCCATCATCTGTTTTAGATATATGATTAGTAAAAGGTAATAGAATGCAACTGAAAACTATGACCGTGAATGTATATGAACCTTCTAAAGTTACCCAAATATTTGGGACCAGAGAAAGCAAAGGAGTTTAGTATATACCTAGATAACTTAACATTATAAAAAATAGAGATAAGAAACCTTGGCTTACAGCTCCATAACATGAAAGATTCACCACTTAAACTCCAAATCCTCCAAGTCCCCATATAGTCCTTTTGTTCTCATTGTTAAGTTCTCAAAACCTTGCCATGTTGTGTTCATCCATTCTGATAAAATTACATTAAGATCTTGGGGAACATTGACACTTGAAACAACAAACTTATGCGATACTTGTTTATTAGCATCAAAATAAAGTATCGTGGAACATAAGTCACTGGATGATTGTTCTGCTGGCATCATTTCTTCAGCTAGTAACTACCTATCTTACCTACACAAGAAACTCATCTTATTATTTTCCAATGCTTAGATGTAACTTGTTCAGCTTTCTCTCTTGTCCTCCCGTGAGATTTTCAGTTACATTAGCAACGGTCTCAACTTCTGTTATAGCTACAAACCAAGTTCTTTTTACCTTCTAGATGTGTGTATTAGACCATATCAAACAAATAGTTTTATGGTAATTAAAGTAAATTTTCATACTATTATAATGACCAGTGGAGTTATTTGTAACTTATTGTGTTTCCTCTTTTCATCGTTGCTGTATTTTTTCACTATTAATAAATAAATTGCTTGTATAATTCATGCATTCATGTCCTCCATCTGAAATGATGCTTTCAGCATCATTATTAGATGAACATGCATGTTTTTACTTGGATTTTTACTCATAATTGAGGCCTTCATGTGAACATTTAGGATTTGATCAATAATGTGTTACGGCTATTCTAGCATAAAAGTGTTAATGTGACTTCTCAAAGAAAATGTTCCCAAACTTTCAGTGATTATAGTCTAAATCTTAGGGGAAAAAGGTAACATTTATGCCCAGGCTTGGTAGCCCACTACAGTACTGAGGAGATGGAGCAAAAAGAATTCCAAAATGTCGAGTAAAGTCTTTTGTCCTTGGCAAAAAAATAACACAAGTTAGTGCAGCATTAATGCTGAAAGCGTGCCTTCGCACCCCCAGTATAATACTACCCAGGGAATGAAGCTTAACGTAGTTGAATGGTATAAAATAATATATGGTACTCTTAGCAATGCCAGCTTAACCGAGTCGAAAGAAGAAATAAATTTATGTTCCCTCAAAAATTTGGGGGTAAATGTTAAATTCTTGTAATTAAATGGTATAAAGGAATTCGTATCACCCTCTATGTGTGTGTGTGCGCGCGCGCATGGTTATCTATCTATCTTGTAACACACACATGAGAGATCATAAATTTTCTTTTATGGGAATTTTTTTAACTGATCTGTTAGTTTTCATATTTAATTAGTTTAATCATACATTTAAATTTCTTTGATGTGACTATTTATATTTATTATTGTTTTCTGAGAAGATGAACATTTTTGGCTATTCACATAAACATGCTTTGAAGGAACTTGTTCTCAATTGTTAATTTTATTGTCTTTAAGTGCAGTTGACAAGAGTACTTTATATCCTAGTCCTCCAGCCTTAACACGTTATAAGGAATCGCTGAATCCATTCACAAAGAAGAAGTCAGCTGATGGCATGATTTTGGAGGGGGAAGCAATTGATCAGCTTAATAATTTGACATTACCTAAACTCTGTGTCAAGCTTAACACTCTTTATGTGAGTCAATCTTATATTTTTAATCTGTTGATTTATTCCTGTTATAAGTGATATTGTGTGACTCTATACACACACACCTGCACATAATTACTGGTATGCATCACCTGTTTGGATGCTTTGGTATGAATGGATCTACTACCTCATAGGTTGTTGCATTACTCACCAAATTGGAACATCTAGTTAGATTGTAGTAATTGCTTTCACTTAGTAAGGGAAAAAGAAAAGTATCTTTAACTTTAATTCCCAAGATGAAGTACATTTGAGTACTTGTTTGATACAAGCAAGTCAATGAGCAATGAAGAAGGTTTAACTTGGTTTTATTCTTTCATTTATTTTGCATTTCAGCATCTTTTTTCCTTCTTAATGTTTATGCATGGATGTGTATAATCTTGCCGGTATCAAATCTTCATATTACTCAGTTCTTGGTGATTTTTCTATGTAGTACATAAGGGAGCAACTAGATGCACTAGAAGATGACATCCAGCAGTCATGGATAGCATCCCAATCAGGTAATTTCTAGCATAGCTTTGTTATTCCTTTCCATCCGAGGATAAAGCAGAAGTGATAGAGCTGCTTAGGTCACACCAGCCTGACTCGGATTACACTCACTGTTTATGGCTATACTATTTCCTTTGCCAGCTACTGTCATATTGTCCAATTAGAAGCATTTTTTTAAAACAGTTTGCTCTCATTTTAATTAGAAATGGATTACAACTCTAAAGGGTTTAGTATACTTGTCTTTTAGCTTGAAAATATCGATGTCATACAAGATCCTGTACTTCTTTTCTACATGTTTCATTTGGTAAGTCATACTGGAGCTGAACTAGCAGATCTATTTGGAAAAGCAAATGGTTCCCTTTCGAAATTCCATCATAATTGGTGTTAACTGGCTAGCCATTTTCCTAAGGAAAATAATGACCATCTACGGAGCTTGGTGGTTCGAAAGGTAAGAATATTTGGAAACTGTTAGCTAGTTTCAACAAACATAGTTTGACTACAAATGATAGTTTCCTTCTTCTACAACTACACATCTAAATATGCACACCACTGTCAAAAAGACAGGTTGGCAACCCTAGAGGGTGTTCGAATGTGGTTTCTTCAAATGTATTATTTAACCTCAATTATTGAAATATAGGCAATAAACTTTGAGCCTCTAAAACAAATACAACAAATTTAAAACAAATTTGAACAAAGATCAAATTATTGATGTACTGTGTACATGCGAATATTCGTGGCGGTAGTTCAAGCCTTCCATTTTGCCTGTCAAAATGTTAAATAGACGCTGAACTTCTTGGTGTGTGTGTGTGGGTGGATTGATCTGTGTGTTACTATGGTACCATGGCATTAAATCATGTTAATGCAAAAAGCATGTTTATGTTATTATGAGTATTCTATAGTATGGTTTGCGACTTCAAAGAGTATATTTTTTCTTCCTTCTACTACTTTTACATCATAAATTCACTTCAATTAACTTGTATTTTTCAGTGAAACGGCAATCTTTGAGAGAAGTTACTGGAGAAGCATATTCATTCAGTGAATCTATCGATGAACTATTTACTATATTCGATGATATCAGAAGAAGTGCAATCAATGCAAGCAATGTACTTGTAGACTTCACTGGTAAGCTGACAATTATCTGCATTTACATTGTTTTATTATTTTCCAATTAGTTGTTGGCACTCACATGGTACTTCATAGTTAGCTGGGTGTGATGTTTGGTGAAGCTGCCTGCTATGATAGAATGCAGAATAGGAGATGATTGCATAGAGGTGCAGACGCAGTCAACATCTCTCTCTTACCATTTATTTATAAACCATTGGAAGTTCCAAAACTATTTAGTGACAAAACAATCTCCTTCTCAAATGTTTGGATCAATAGTTGTTTTTTAATAAAGGGGTAGATTATTAAGCCAATAAACTTTCACTGAAGAGAAGTTTATTTAAAAAAAAAATCCACAAATGGTAACAATAACCAAAGAATCTAATATGGACGTAATACATAAATCTGAGGTGAAAAATAAGGGAAATGAAAGAGGTACAGAGTCTTTAGATTGTCGTCATAGTGTGGGTATCACCTGCATGCATTTGAGCTCAAAGGTAGAAGCTTTGCAGATACAATAGTATTAGACATGAGTACAGTTGTTTCTTGTTGCATGGAAGTTAGAAACACGTAAATATAGTGGATATTTTATAAGCTCATTTCAAATTTTAGTATCTGTTAGACCATTTCTGTTATTAGTTGTTAGTAGACTTATTTCATATATCTTAAATGTTAAATAAAGTAATTTTCTTTTAGAGTACTTTCTTCTATTATAGTTTTCCTTATTTTTTATTGAAGTTTCTATTTCCTAGCACTTTGTACTGTACTTCCTTCTCTTGTAATGTTCCTTGTTTCATTGGGCTTTACAATATTTATTTGTATCAATGATATTAAAGTCTATCAATGATCAATGAATAACAAGATATTAACAGTATCGTAACAAATTCTTAACCATAGAGGTCTCGTTCTCCTTCCTTAGCCTCGGGATCGCCAGGGGACTTTGTCGTAAGTATCATCTCTGTGCTTCCCCGCAATAGGTTCTACATCACCAACAATTCTGTTCTCGTCTTCTTCAAATTCTTTGGTTTCGTCATCTTCCCACATGAAAAGAAATTGCTAGTTGCTGCAGGATTTGGAATCTCAACCGAACTCGGATTCAACCTTCTCTGCCTAATAAACCCCTCGCTACTATTCTTCTTCATCAACAAAAAAACCTTGCACTACTGGAAAAGGAGAAACATTACCAATCAGTGTTTATAAGGGCGCATCTAGGCGAACGCCTCAGACGCGAGGCGCTTCGGCGCAGCGGCATAACGCCCCGTAACAGGTGCGAGGTGCTACACTTGCGCCTGACGCGAGCCTGGTGAGCTCCCCACAGCGCTTGCCGCCTTTGACAAGGCGCGCGCATGAATAACAGGGAAGAAACCCAGTTTTATTCAGTGGGTTATTGGGTATAAACCTGCTTCCCACTTAAACCTGATTTCTTTGTTAGGGTTCTGTCGCTCCTTCTCCACTCCCGAATCCTGATTTCTTTGTTAGAGTTATTGGATCTCCACTCGACAGCAGCAAAGTATCGACGGCTAGCGGCGATGGACGACGGCGAGCGGCGACGACGAGTAGCAAGTAGGTACGTTCTCCTCAGCGATATTTTTCTGGTCCTTTTTTTTCTTTTCGTTTTTGTATTTTCTTTTTTTCTTTTCTTTTCTCCTCAGCGAGCAAGTACGTTCTACGTTCTCGTTCTTTTTCTTTTCCTTTCTTTTCTTTTCGTTTTGTGTTCTCTTTCTCTGCTCAGCAATGTTTTTTTTTGTTTCTTTTCTTTTCTTTTTTTTCTTTTTGTTTTGCGTTCTCTTAATTAAGGATAATGAGCAGGTGTTTTCTTTTTTCTTTTATGTTTTAAAATCTGAGTTTTTAGTTGTTGACTGTTAAGTGTAAACTGTTAGTTCACTCTTCTAAACTTGATTTGGTTTTATTGTTAACTAACTTACAAAGAGAGATTTAATCTTAACTAACTTATTCCTCCTAGCTGTTAGATCTTAATTTAATTTTTTTATTATTATCGCTCTTGACTGTTAACTGTTTTTTCTTTGGCTTAATATCAATATGCAGAGTCATGATACTATGAACTAATTGTTTGCTTCTTATTAGCTTATTGATGTACTACTAGTGCTACTATTTGATTTCCTGTGCGAGTCTGCGAGTATTGATTCTTGCTATTTGAGCTAAGTGTAGTGCTACTAGTTGAAACTTAAAACTTGATTCGCCATTTGTAATCTGTAAAGAGGAAAATAAAACTTAGCAATATAGTTGTTAGTGATGCAATATACTAGTGCTTGATTTGTTTCAATGATTAAAATTTTATCTTGTGATTTGGTAGTATATTTTTTTTATGTTGAGTCCTTGACATTTTCTATGTGAAATTTCACAAATATTTTTTTTCATTCATCTTGTATATCTTCAAAATTTTTGTGGTCTGGAGTGCGCCTCGCTTCTCTCGGGCGCGCGCATCGCATTGCGCCTCACGCTTGTGCGTGTAAACTAACTTTGCGACCCGCATTGCGCCTCGCGCATTGAAAACACTGGTACCAATAAAATAGCAACTTTTAGCAAAGAAAAGGTAAAGAGTAAGGCAACGTACTCTACAAGCTCCTTCAATTTCATCCGTTGGTGCCATGACCAAAGGTCTTGCCGTGCATCCTGTTGAAGCACCTACCTAGCCGCCCTCTCCGCAATTTCCTTCTATGACCAGCGAAGCTCTTTTAATCATTGCAAGTTCATGATTGACGTGTTTGTCTCAAATAAGTTTCTAGTACTTCCCAACTATGTACCATTGCTTGCTGAGGAACATCTCAAATTATTGGGAATCAGATACAGGCAACTGCTAAGCTACTGATATGATTCCTATATGGGTATCTAAGTTTTTCCCCTTCTTTGTCGCCCAACTTTCTCAGCAGGGCACATGCTAGTAGCCTGTAACTAGAACCACTTCTTTCTTAGAATCATTCTAGTCCTTCTTTGTTAAAAGCATCATTTTACAATGAAATATATTCTAAATTGTGAAACCGGAAGTAAAATTATCTCAATTATAATAGACCTTTTCATGCCCTCAAACCCTTTTGATTTTGGAATTTAACTAGGGACCCGTCCATTGGTTCAGTGGATTCTGTATGAAAAACACAACTAAGGGAGTAAGGTGATAGTTCTGCTAGCTTTGTCATGAATCTTGAATCTCTTTGCTATTATTATAGTAGTAATGAACTTATGAGGCTTCTGATTATAAAATAAAAAGAAACAAAAGAGGAATACATGAAGAGAAAATGGAATTCGTGTGCACTCTTGAGTAGTGGGTTAATATTAATGGAAGAAAAGACGGACTCAGAAGGTATTACAGTGTTGAAAGGAGGTATTCAACTTGAACGAGAGTGCAGAGGTTGGACAATTGTCATAGAAGAATATGGCTGTATGTACAGAGTTGAAAGGAGGTATTCAGCTAAATGAAAATGCAGAGGTTGGCTGGTTACTTACCAATTGTCATAGAAGAATATGGCGGTATGTTTGTGAAGGTATCTGTCCAAGCTGTAAGGGATGGTTTACTTATTTGTAGTTCACTCAAGGGCTATAAAAAATAAATAAACAATTTTGTTACTGGTTTTGAACTTGAGCCTGTTTGATGATTTGGTACAATATATGGTGCATTTCTTTTTCAAGTTGAATTTTCTGTTACTCATAAAAATTTTATTTCTTAATTTTTAACTCTTCAGGAGTGAGGATAATATTCTGGGATATGAGGGATTCTTTCCTTTCTTCCTTGTATCGAGGAAACGTAGGAAGTGCACGCATGGAAAAGCTTGTCCCGGAGCTTGATACAGTAAGTTAAAGAAAATGAGAAAATAGAATGAGCATCTGGTGATGCCTTCTTCTCATCAGTTAATTGCATTCCCTTCACTGGGCATTCCATTGGACTATATCTAGTTAAGCTTCAAATGTTTGTGTTGTAGGTTCTTGATGACATTTGTGGTTTAGTAATCGATACACTCAGGGATCATGTTGTTTTAAGCATCTGTCAGGCATCAATGGTATCTCCTCAATCACGTAACAACATTCAGTCACTTGTTAGTATTTGAGTTGATAGATACATGATATTTCCACAGAATGGTTATGTTTGGGTGTTGTTGGATGGAGGCCCATCTCGTGCATTTTCCGAAACCGATGTCACGATGATGCAGGAAGATCTTAATATTCTCAAGGTATGGAATCTGCTAATAGAATGTCTGAGTGCATGCTAATATGTACTCCCTTTGCATTTCATTTCTAAATTGTGTTTCATGTTTATGGTTTATTTGATTAATGTTTGAGGAACATCGCTTCTTTCTAAACTTTGTCCTTCTATCTTAGGATTGATGAATTATTTCTTCTATGAAAGTCACTTTAGCTGTGTGTGAATAGGGTGATAAATCAACAAAGGTCAATTTAAAAAGCTAAACACTAGATCTATGTGGGTGTATACTAACAAACAAAAGACAAATACAATAAACAATCAACACAAGATCGACAGCTATCTCAATATTATTATTTGTCTCGACAAACATGATTCTCAATGTGAAAGTAGAAATGAGGCAAGGATAGGTGAATGTAGTAAAAAGATTATGAGTACATAAGATAGATCAGCACACCACAAACACAAGGATTTATATTTGTTCGGCAAATCCTGTCTACATCTCATACCTCACTGGCTCTCACTGGCTTTCATGACGTATTCTTCACCGGCTTGAGCCTTGAGCTAACTTCACCATTGTGCATCAACCCTGTGGCTAGGATGTGATTTGCAATTAGTCCTTAAATCTTTACAAACTTTCTCACTTCATGTATAACCTGAAATATCATAAACACTAAAATGTTTGTTGTCATCAAAACATAGTTTTTTCATAGAAACAAGAGGTCATTCTATAGAAACCACCTTTCATTTTCAATTTTTACATATATCACCTTTAAAGTGTCTTTTGTTGCAATCATCTGCTTTGGGCCCACTTTTTAGTTAAGTTTTTTCTATAATTGACCGTGCATAACCTCAATTATGGACCATCTCTCTAATATATTTGGTATTTAATAGCTAAATTATGATAGCAAAACCGAAAAAACTTTACCTAAAAGTGGGCTCAGATGGTTGATTGCAACAAGAAATGCTTTAAATGTGGTTTCTGTATAAATTGAAAATGATAGGTGGTTTCTATGGAATGACCATATTTTAAAGGTGGTTTCTATGAAAAAAACCCAAACATAAATAATGAAACATATAGTCTTAATTTTGGATCATTTTACAATAGGACATAGAAGCATTCTGCCCCTGCAGATAATTAGTTGTATTACTAGAAGATTCTGGTGTGTTAACTTCCAAATGCGTACAGGAAGATGAGGATGTTATATGTTGGTCTATTGACTTACAATCATTGCTATGTTTGAGAAAAACTGACTTGATCCCTGAGAGGGATAATCAGGCTTTATTTATTACAGAGCAAGTAGTATAGAAGTAGGATAGAATTACATAGTTTTTCAATGTATAACAAAATTCTCTTACTTCCTAATGTACTAGAACTCTAATAAGCATTATATAACCAAGCACTTCAAGGGGTGGTTTACCAAGTATATTCTAAAAAAATTTCATTGTAGATGCATGTGATTATGTGAAGTGATATCTATGTACCTTTGGAACTAGCGAGTGTAACTTTGGAACTAAAAAAATAATTCTTATGTTCATGAGATGATATATCAACATTCTTTTATAGGCCTTATTCTCCTTCTCTCAGAATTGTGATATCTCAAATTTTTGTAGAGAGAAATAATTGTTCTGAATTCACTTTTCTATGTCTTGTTATCTGGTCCAAGTTTTAAATGTCGGCCAACATGTCCGACATATCGGATTTAGGGGCCAATCGACATGATATGGAGCTTTTTAATGCGTATTGTATTTTCAGGGTTCATGTCGGATATATCAGGGGACATGTCGGATATGTCAGGTGATATATCGGTTATGTCGGCCGATTTTCCAGTCTGCAAAATTGGCTAATATTTTATTTTTTTGGTAAAGTTTATCTAATCAGCTTTGGGTTTAAAATTGGCTAATTTTTCAGTCTGAAAAATTAGCTATATTTTTTATTTTTTTGGTAAAGTTTATCTAATCAGTTTTGGGTTTAAATTCTTGATTTTCTCAATATTACTTCTAAAGACAAAAACCGATAAGTTAAGGGAAATGGAAAAACAGACCGAAGTAATATTCATCGCTCATCTTCTGTCTCTTCTTCGACATCTTATCGGTCTCTTCTCCGAGCTATTCCTTCGACATCAATATTGGGCGATCTTCTCTCTTCTTAACTGCTAATATCGGAGTCCTCTTTTCTCTCCTCTTTCCTTTAACATTAACCCTAAACATCATAAGTTATTTACTTTTTTATATGTTTAGATAATAGAATTTTTTTAAGTCTGTGTAGATTTTATTTATGATATTTATATTACACATATGCACACTATTCGATATGGCAATCCGATATTTTTTTATATCCCCCGACGTATCCCCGATTTTCGCTATCCGACATGAATTTTAGTCGTTCGTCATGAACCTGACATCCGACATTTAAAACCTTGATCTGGTCTATCTTGAATTACTTATTTGGCTTCAGGATAACGATAGAAAGATTATATTTTTATGTTTGGACAAAGAATCATTTGCACTTTTTCAGGAATACACAACAGTAAGAATGATAACAAAAACTTTATTCCAAATGTTGTGGTAGCTATATTAGCGTTGTTCTTGCATCCAGTTCTAATTGGGGTCATCTGATTTGTTGAATCAACTTGTCAATTACCGTATCCTTCTTAATTGTTTCCATCAAATTCTTACAGGCCTGTGTATAGTTGGGTAACTTTTTCTATTGGCGCGCTTATGAGTCTCTAAACCATCCGTTTGTTTCTCTCTTATATTATCCTCAATAGGACAAACTTCTAATTTCTTACGAATGGACTATTTTTATTTTCTAGTGCAATTTGACTCATCCATTCTAGGTTCGCGTTTCTGCTAGGCTCATTTTGGACATGTTTTTTCATTGCCCACATAATCCTAAGTGTTTTAAAAGCATTGCACCTTGACGCTGCAAGCACTCAAGTGAGGCGATTTTGTATTTTAGCGCCTCAGATATCATCAGGTGATGAAGGTTACTAAGACAAGTGCCTTTTGGCACCTTGGAGCTCGCCTATGCACCTTAGGCACTTTCCTTAGGCAGGTGCCGCAAGACATAAAAGGTGTACGGTTCTGTTTTGATTTTTTGAGGGCGTGAATGCTGTCTGACATAGTGAAGTTTGTCTTTTTTGTTTTTGATTTTTTTTTGTGGTAGATTTTTTGCTATTTGTTATTGCAATGCACCTAATCACCACAAAGTGAAACTTGAAAGTTCATACTTTGTCGCTTAGTTATCATTGTTTGGTTAGTACTTAGTATTAGTATCTATTATTATTTATTGCCTTCGTTTGATCACCTTTTTTGGCGTCTCTCATCTCATGTAATATAGGATCTCATCACATTGACCTCGTCTTTCGCCTTTAAAATTGTAATGCCCCGCTAATAGTCTCACATCAATTGTGTGAGGACAGATTGATGGGTTTAAATAGTAAGCCTAGGGATTCAAGTGCAACAATGGTTAACCATTTTTGGCTGTGATAGCCAAACAACTCCACAATTAAATGTACTTGTGCAAGAGTAGAACCAGGATGGATGACCTCCTGGAAAGTAGTGTTGTACTCACTAGGTCCCATGGCTTTTATCGTGCCTATAGGCTTGTAGGCCTTAATGAAAACACTAATATTCCATAAAGTATTTGTTTCATTGCCGACTTTCGGATTTTTCCCCTTAATGTCATGGGTATTCTATGTTCACATAAAGTTACAGAAGCGCTTTTTCATTTTGGCCATCTCGATATGGTCCAAAGAACCTGTTAGAACAAGGGCACAATCTAGCGGAGACAATTGCGAAGAGCAAGCAAAAGAATAAATGACAAGCAATCGCAAATACGGATTCTTACGCGTTTCACCCAATTTGGGCTGTCCAAGGCAGAGGCGTTGAAGAAATTAAAAAAAAGCACAATGAACTCTTAATAGGCCAAAAAAACCTCAACTCTCAAACTCTCAGTTTTTCTCTCTGTAACCTCTGAGAGAATGCACTGACGGCTGTCTATTTCTAAGGGGTTTTTACAGTATATTAAAATCCTTTAATTTGCTCCTTTTAACCATGGACTAATCTCATCCGTCCATTACATATAAAAGCTTTTTACACACAAGCTATAGGTATAGGTTTTTTTTCATAGTAGTCCCTCAAATACCTAATTTCAAACTTATTTGGAATTAGTCTCTAATGCTTTCCTATTTGAAGTTAATCTCCCAAATATTTCATATCTAAAATTAGTCTCCCAAATCTTCATATTTTACAATTGGTACCCCAAGTATTTGAAGCGTTTGAAATTATCCTTTGTTACATTTACCGTCCAATTGTTAACTACAGTTAGATAATGATTAACCAAGGACGGGTAATTACCAAATCAACCAAAATGAACATCAAAATCCACCAAAATCATGCTCCAAGTCAGTAGTTCTAATTATAATTTGCATAATTTCCCCCAATTTGTACTCTAGTGAAGTTTTTTTGGTGTTTGGGTTTGAATGGATACGGGTATAACTTCTGTTACACTTAAAACCGTTAAAATTAACCAAATATTCTCTCAATTTCAAGCAACCCCTCAGTGGAGGGACTAATTTTAAATCAGTTAAATTTGGGGACTAAGATGGAAAAAAAACCATATATATATATACACACATTTTTTTTCCATGTAGTTTTCTTTGCATTTCAAGTATATAAGGAAAATGAGGTTTCAATTTCCATTTAATTTTGCATCTAATAATAGAAATTTGAAATAAGGTTTATGTCCTTATGTGGTTTTACAATTTTGTGATGGAATTGTGAAATGGAGTTCTTTCAATTTCATAAAGTTTTACATTAAGAAATAGATCTGTGAAATAAATTCTATATTCATGTTCTTATTCGATTATTTTATAAATATAATAGTTAAACTTATTTTATTTCTTTTTATTGTTCTTTGAAATAAGTTTAATGGTATAACTTGCAGTGTATTGTCAAATTGTCTATAATTTGTAGTTTGTGGTTATGGAAAAACCAACTACAATATTTACATTTTTTTAAAAAGAGAGTTTAGAGTATGTTGATTCAAGGATGATAGCATATGTTGAAATGATTTAAGTATTCATGATTTTTTTTTTTGTAAAACTTGCACTTAGATACTTCTTTCACCTAGTTACATATATAGTTACATATATGAAAGTTAATCATATGTTGTCATATTTAATCCCTTTTTTATTAATGCATAGTATTTTGTATTTTGGCACCCCCTAAGAAAAATGTTGGCTCTGCCACTGGCTGTGTTTACGTAGGATCCATCATTGCAATTAATGCTAAGCAGTTTTTAGCAATTGATAATTCAATGCAATATTTGTTATTTGGGAGTAAAACCATCTAGAGATTTCATTGACTGCTACGGCACAATCTTGTGGGTCATATCTTTTATGGCAGAATAGTTGAGTGAATATTTCTAGGATTTTTCACTAAGAAAGATGGCTCTTCCTTTCTGCTGGTTGTTTAGCTTTGTTGTAAAACTGAGAATATATCCTTTTCTCTAGGACTTTTTTGTTGCAGATGGTCAGGGACTGCCGCTTTCTGAAGTTGAGAAGGCATCAGGCTTACCTCAACAGATTATAGGCTTGTATGGCATGAAGGTGAAACTTCATGGTTAGTTTTAATTAATGCAAGCATGTTCTACAGGCAAATCTAAATTTCGTCATGTTTTTACTTTCAGTCTAGCACCATAATTGACATGCTGAGAAATGCAAGTAACCACATTTCACATAGTTCAAATCCTATAAGACCAGGAAATAGATCTGCAAGAGATGCTGATACTTTGCTTCGAGTTTTATGTCATAAGAAGGATGATGATGCTTCTGAGTTTCTAAAATTACACTACCAACTGCCCAAGTCTTCAGGTGACGTTTATTCTTTTTCACCTCATAAACTAGTGCATATGAATAATACGTTAATTGTGTTCTTACTCAGTTTAATGTCTCTTACGCCCTTTTTTTCAATTATTATTTATTTACCGTAAGGAAATTGGAATTGCAAACTAATTGATTTTAAGCTTTTTTTTCAGTTTAAGGATGCGGGTGCACTGATTCTAGTTGTGTCCATGTAGTCATTTGTTTTCGAAATAGTATGGGTCATGACATCTGAGCTTCATGAGTTCTTTTCTTAAAATACCATCCATATATTGCCACACCATTAATGGTGCTGATAGTTATCTGAACCTTAAATAGGAATTTTCCTTAAGTTGTCTCCATTAAGGATGCGGGTGACCAAATTTTGTGAACTCTGAAAATAATCAAGGTCTAGATTTAAAAAATGTACCCAACAATACAACAAGAAAAAACCTTTTGTGCATTTCCAGTTTCCTTTATTTTGGTATATCATCTTCGATATTTATTATTCCATCCTTCACTAATAATCTGAGAGAAACAAAAGATCACTAAGGTTGAAGTTTCTGCTGCAGATTATGATGATTTTGGGGTAGCAGAACAAACGTCAACATCACCACTTCTACCAGGTATACTCAACAGAAATGTTTCTATCAACTGGTCAGAACAAGGCCAGAAAAGCTTCAGTATGATGCGGAAAAAATTCCAGGAAGCCGCATCTGAAGTCATGCAGACAAAGAGCAAAAGCTAATCAATATTATTTACTGCTATTTTAGTGAAGCATTAATGGTTTAGTGTCGTGGAAATACGGAAACTGTAAATGAATATTTTTTGTAATTGTTTCACGCTAATGCGCAACCAATTTTGGTATGAACTACGTTGCTAGTAGGCAATCAGTCTTGCTATTTACTCTTTAATGGAATGAAATTTGTAGTAGCCTAAGTAATTAGTGCTTTAAAATTGAATTAATGGAGAAAAGTTTTTTAAAATAAAGATTAGGGAAACTAATTAAGGAGTTTGTTTGAAATTTCACCCCTAGCTCTTGATTAACTGCCAACTAGGTGTTTTAATGGCTGAAAGTCATTTGATGATTTGGGCGGCACCTCCTCAATAGAGGAATAAAATAGGAAAAAAAAAACCCGCGAAAAAAAGTCTTCTCATCGTCAACTAAACTCTTTGGGAGCTAGAGAAAGCTTGTGAAGGGAGAAAAGAAGACCCATGTAACAAATTAGTATCTCAATCATTAAGGTATAACCCACTTTCAAATTGCATAGTAAATTCTAGTAATTTGAATCAAAATAGAATTGAGCGAGGATGATAACTTGTTATGACTATGAAGCTAAAAACTAGGATTTGCAAAAGAGTATTTTTATGTGTTTAAGATGTATGTGATTGACTGGAGAGAAAAAAAAAAGAAAGAAAAGAAAAACTAACCTTAGATCCGGTGGGGGTTTTGT